ATCGTTTCTACGTTCATAAATGGTCGTTTGGTTGAGTTTTGTGTTTGACATATGTGAAGAACCAAGAATCATAAACCTTGAATTTGTTGTTAAAACTTCGAATTGATGCCTCTAAAATGATCTACGAACCTTGGAGAACATTTCTATATAGTTTAATTGAAGTTTGGTGACCAAAAATGGAACTTGAGAAAAATGGGTTAGAGGTTGAAGATGATGAATAGTAACCCCTTCATCTTCCTGCACTTTCCAACGGAACGGATGACCGTTCAAACCCAACGGTCGACCGTTACGAACATTTTTAAGTCCAAAAATGCTATTTTTGAAGCTATAAAAGCCTAATTTTTTTTATACCAATCAATTATGATCAATATAAAAAAAATTGTTAAAAATAAAAATGATGTTTTGACAAATAAAATTTCATGTGATAAAATAAAAATGATGTTTTGACAAATAAAATTTTATGTGATGTATGACGGTAAGCTAAGGTGTTAACACTCGATGCTAGACCGCTATTTGTTATTGGATATTGTTAAAATTATTATTGATGTTGTTTATAATCAGACTTTGATGAATATTCTTATTAAAATAATAATTATGAATGATTAAATCATGATTAAAAATGAATATATATATAATTATGAAATGATGTGTATTGTTAAGAGTATCTAGAAGAACTCTAAGATATACCCATTTAAATAATTTATATTAAGGTTATCTACAAGACCTCTAGAATAGATCTCAGATTAGAAGGGATTGTGAGAATCTGAATATTCGGTGATTTGATAAAAAAAATGTAACGGAACACGTAGACCAAACTAGAGGATCACTCGTTTGGAAATACTTTGACTCAATGATGATTAATTATTGTCTTATTGTTGCCTTAAACTAATTATAGTTTAAGCGTCTGAGAAATGTTTGCCTTAAACTAATTAAAGTTTAAGCGTCGGAGAACTGTTGCCTTAAACTCATTATAGTTTAAGCGTCTGAGAAATGTTTGCCTTAAACTAATCATAGTTTAAGCGTCTGAGAATGAAATTATGATCTAGCCTTAGACTAAGAATATAGCTAAGAGCGTTGTTATGATCTGGCCTTAGAGTAAGAATAGTTAAGAGCGTTGTTATGATTTGGCCTTAGATTAAGAACGATTTAAGAGCATTATCGAAATAATAACTGAATTGAATAAAATATGTTGATAAGAACTGAATAATATCAAAACTGTGAATGTCTGAAGTGAACATTGTGTGCATGATATCAAATGATTTGATTATGAATTTAGATTCAGTTTATATGGATGTTCGACGCATTAGATATGCTTACTCAGCTTTACCGCTGAGCGTGTAGTATGTTTTAATTGCTACACGCAGGTAAACA